GGGTGTGTGTCCCCGCGGGGGCTGGAGCTGCACAGGGACCCCCGGAGCTCCCCAGGGGAGTGGGACACAGGACCCCCCAGGGCTGGGATGGGGGGTGCCCAGTCAAAAAAAGGGGCACGTGCTGCTGTGACACCCCCAGGGAAAGGTCACAGAGTCCCAGGGGTTGGAAGGGACCTGGGAAGATCCCCCAGCCCAGCCCCCCTGCCAGAGCAGGGGCACCCAGAGCACATCACACAGGAACGTGGCCAGGGGGGTTGGAATGTCTCCAGAGAAGGAGACTCCACAGCCTCTCTGGGCAGCCTGGCCCAGGGCTCTGGCACTCTCACAGCAAAGAAGTTCTTCCTGAGATTCCCATGGAACCTCCTGGGCTCCAGTTTGCACCCACTGCCCCTTGTCCTATCAGGTTTCTCCCCACCCACCGCTCCAGCCTGTCCATGTCTCCCAGCACAGCCCCTGGTGTGTCAGCCAGACCTCCCAGTTTGGTGTCACCAGCAAACTTGCTGAGGGCACCCTCTGTTCCCTCACCCAGGTCCTTGATGAAAACACTGAACAGCCCCAGTCCCAGCCCCGACCCCTGAGGTACCCCACTGGTCACAGGCCCCCAACTACATTGTCCCATTGACCACAAGTCTCTGACTTTCCTTTCAAGCAGCTCACAGTCCCTCTCACGACCATCAGGACCAAGTTCCTCAGCTGATCTACAAGGATGCTGTGGGAGATGGTGTCAAATGCTTGACTGAAACAGAGAGAAACCACATCTACCTCCTACCAGCACCTCCCCACCCGGTTACCTCCTCGCAGGAGGCTGCAAGGTTGGTCAAACCAGGCAAGGAGCCACGTCCCTCTGGGGCTGAGCCCCGTGGGGACACGGGACCACCGTGCAGGGGGGGCAACAGGCACCTTGGTCACAGCACTGGGAGGGGGGTGGCAGAGGGACAGGAGGTGGCAGAGGGACAGGAGGTGGCAGAGGGACAGGGGCTTGGCAGAGGGGCAAGGGGTGGCAGAGGGACAGGGGTGGCAGAGGGACAGGGGGTGGCAGAGGGACAGGGGGTGGCAGAGGGACA